CATTGCGGAGACAAGGATGGGTCCTGCTACCGAAAGCTGCCCAATCTGTATCGGGGCTTCAACCTGGCCCAGGAAGCCCATGCTGCCTCCATTTTCTGCAATGAACGTCGTCTTGATGGGGGATAAAGTCGTGCATGGTGCTCGAGATGATCGTGGCTGATGCCCCCATGTCAACCAAGATACGTGCCGACACTCCCGAGATTTCACCAACCAGGACCGAGGTTCCTGACATGGTCGCTACCACCCGCCTTGCCAGCTTCCTCCATTGTGTGGCTGAGTCCGGCCACTGACCAGGCGGCGTCTCGTTATCCTGCGGTGCAAGGTGAGATGATGGGGGATGGATGTGAATGGACCGAAGATGGGGTTCCCCCCTTTGGAGTGCGTCGCAGCGGGGTGAATGCGCCCTTGTTACATGGTGTGGGCTCCCCATGTGGTGCAAATTTCCCCCCTTTGGTGACGTAGGATGGGCCCCCCCCCCCTTTGGAGTGCGTCGCAGCACGGTGAATGCGCCCTTGTTACATAGTGTGGGCTTCCCCCTGGGGTGCGGGCTGGGCTCTCTATGTGGTGCAAATTGCCCCCCCCCCCCCTTGGTGACGTATGATGGGCCCCCCTTGTGGTGTGGAGGGGCCCCCCATTGTAGTGGGTGGTGGGGATTGGGGGGTGGGCCTTCCCGTGAGCCCATCCCTTCTCCCCTCCCCTTCCTTTGTCACGGGGGCGTGGGCCCCCTTCATGGTGTGGTCCCCTGGTCCTGTCTCGCTCCGGCGCAAAGCGATGGTGAAGCGGGGCGTGGAACTGCTCCAGGGCACAACAGCAATTGTGTGTGCTGCCTCAGCCCAGGGGCCGTTGCCCCTGGCAACTCGCCGGCGTCACAGGTAACTAGTGACGTCACTTCCGGTTGCGACGTCACGTCCGCCCGCGAAACCACGCCCGCCCGCGACGGCACGTCTGGCCGCGACGTCACTTCCGGCCTCGGCATGATCCCCGGCGCGGTCCCCGGCCCCGGCGCGATTCCCGGCGCGGTTCCTGGCCCCGGTACGATTCCCGGCGCGGTCCGCGACACCACTTGCATCGTCACTTCGGGCCACGACGTCACGTCCGTTCGCTTCCGGTCGTGACGCGATCGCAGTCCACGACGCGATCGCAGTCCGCGACGCGATCCCCGGCCCCGGCGCGGTCCCTGGCCCCGGCGCGATCCCCTTCTGACCAGGACAGTGGGGCCCGGGGCCGACCAAGAGGCCGGGCGGGACGGCGTCACTCGCCTGGATCCTGTCAGCGTTCGGCCCCGGCGGGTTCCAGGTGGGGTTGGCGGCCTCCGGCTCCGTGCGACACCCCCTCGCCACATGCCCCTCTCGACCACAACGGTGGCAGACCCACAGGGCGTTCCGTCGGGGTGGCTCGGCGCGGTGTTGTAGAGGCGGCTTCCAGCGACGCGGCGGCTGGTCGCGCCCCTGGTCTCTCTGCTCCTGCCAGCCCCCGGATCGCCGCGTACACCTCCCGCAGTGATGGCTCTGGCTCGGATGTCGGGAGTCCGTTCCCAGCTGCCCCACAGGCAGCCTGCGGCGATGGTGCAGGTTCGGCGGTTGGTGTCGCTGGACCCAGTAGCGCCACGGCAACGGCTCAGCTGTTCCCCCCCGCCGCACCCGCCACCTGGCCCATGGGTGGTGCCCGGCCCATGACCTGTTCAGCCCACAGCAAGGTGTGTTCCCCCGGCGTCACCACGGGCATTACAACGCCAGCACGGCAAGCGTAGGCGATGAGGTGCTCGACCACGAGGTCCTCGAGCACTTTTTCAGCCAGGCGAGGGAAAGCCCTCCTCGCCAACACGAGCAGTGCACCCCTGTAGGCTAAAGGGGATTCTCTAGCCCCTCGCTGGCGGTCCTGGAATCGTTTAAAGGCTCCTTCAGCTGGGCAGATCTTCCCCAAAGCCTCGTAGGCCGCCTGTAGCGTGGTCTTGCTGTGCGAGGGAAGGGAGGTGTAAGAGGAAAGCGCGTCGTCGTCCAGAACAGATTAAACGCTCATAATGCCTCTTCGTCTGACCACTCGAGAGCGTGGAAGGCAGCCTCCAATTGGCAGACAAACGCCTCCCAATCTCCTCCCTCGGCCACGAACTTGTCGACGGGCCCCAGTCGACGCGCCCGTCCTGCCACCTGCTCTCCGTGTTGGGTGTTTAGCCCTGGGGGTTTTGGCGGGAGCGACGGAGGCTAGCATGACGAGGTTGGTTGCGGCTCCTGCCCGGCTGGCTGGTCGGCCTCCGGGTCCCGTGGCCTCTCCTCCCGTGGTACGCGTGGGGGTGGGGGTCCCGGTGCCGGTGGGCCCCCCATAGGGAGCCTCTGCAGTAGCTCCTGGAGTGCCCTCTCCACGCGGGCCATGCGGTCCTCCATAGGGTCCTCCAGGCAATCCGGGCTCCCTGCTGCTGATTCTGGTAGAAGGCCCCCTTGTTGCCCAGGATGGGAAGGATCCCCGGCCCCTGCTTCCTCTTGCCTTGGCTCTTTTCCGCGGGGATTCTTCTTCGTAGCCATTGTAAATCCCACCGCTGCCACCAGATGTAAAGGAGAGCCGACACAATATTGCAGGGGGTTCGTCTTTTAATCCTTTTCTCCCATCCACACCTGTCCCCAGCCGTCCCAATCTCGTTCCTGCCAAAGGCCCCTTCTTCCCGCCCATTCTCCCCTTATATCTCCTCGATTACCCCCTCCCACTAACCCTCCTATTGGTGGGAATCCTTCCCCTGACACCCCTACAATAGTTTAGTAATAGGTGTGCTACTTATTGGTCTCTGTGGCCTCCCTCTCATCTCTGGTATAACACCACCCTCGCTCTACTCCCAACTCGCAGTCGTTCTTCTCCGTGGAAATTTTTGGGGTTTGGATCGCCGCCCGAGCACAACGTTGTGTCGTGCACCTCTTCTCCACCCGGCACAGTGAATGTGATTGTGTTGTGACGTCGCGAACAAACGTGGCCACTTGGACTGCTTCAGCAGCAGCACATCACCGCTGTGTTGTTGTACAGTCACACCACTGTGTTCATTCCCTTCTCTGGTATGCAAGAGGTCGTGGGTTCAACCCCGACACCGACGCCCGCTGCTGTCTGTGAAGTTTGCGCTGGCCGCTCTGCGTCGCTGGGCCGGCGCTCGGCAAGCGCTGCAAGTGTCGGGGGGAGACTCTCGGCAGGCACCTGGGACAAAAGCCCCTGGGCAGATATGAGTTCTGTATTAAGACTCGGACACGCTTAGTAAGCGAGTCATCTTCAGGGACACAAAGCCCTGAGTTCTGTATTAAGACTCGGACACGCTTGGTCAGGGAGTCATCTTCAGGGACACAAAGCCCTGGGAAATGTTTAACTGGTAAAGAACGTGCTCGCCCAAACCCCATTACATGACCAAATTTCTTCCCCTTCTTGAAACGAGTAGTGGAGTTTAAGAGCCTGCTACTATCTAGATTTGAAGTTTTCGTGACTGCAGGGATCATACTCTTTGGTTCTTTCGGTAAAGTCACGTAGGTATAAAATAAAATAAATTACGTTTCTATTGCAAAACAAGCAATCATTTTCTCACCTGGTGATTGCTTGTGTTGCAATCGAAACGTCGTGATTTAATTTATTTTATACCTATGTGATTTTACCGAAATAACCAAAGAGTATGGCCTTCTACTAGTTTTTAAAGCTTTGCATGGGCTGGCATCACCATATATTCATGAGTTAATTCATCCGTACACCCCCTCAAGGTCGTTAAGATCTGCAGACTCGACCCTACTGCGCAAATCTCGATCTCGGTCACGTTCCTGGGGTGAGCGGCCACTTCCTGCGTCTGTGCCATGGCCGTGGAATTCCCTGCTGCTGGAAATTCGTTAATCCGACAAATGTGGATATATTTAAGTCTTGTCTTAAAACTATGTCTCCTGAAGTCCGTTTATTCTTTTTAGCTTCTCCGTCTCTCTTCACCTTTCCTTTATCCTTATTCTTACAAGGCGCCTTGAGATATGCGTGGAAGGCGCCTTACAGATCAATGTTAATCTTCTATCTATATGTATAAAAGTAAAAAAATGTTTGTCGGTTTGTGGCTTTGTGTGTTCGCGCGCTTGCAAAGGATTTGGGTCTCCAACGGTGGGGTTTACGTTAAATACAAATAGCCAGGTACCACGCCGTAAGCCCCGCCCCCGTGAGCAAGCGCCATTCCTTTTTCACATCCTTAAACATTTAATAAGTTAAATGAGTGATTTAGTGCAATTTTTTTGCACTGTCTTTTTATTTATTACGCGTGCACGGCCAGACCAAGTCATGCGCCTTTGGTCGGGGGACGGCCCATGCAAAGTCACACGCCTTCGGTGGGAGTGAGAGGGACATTTTCTTTCGCATTAAAAATGCTTTAAAAATACACTAAACGTGGAGCTTAAAGCTTCACTGTGTGATGTCCCCCCCCACGCCGATGCGTGCAGTTACTAATATATACAGTCGCTAGATGCTACCACTATAGGCCGTAGATATTACTGCAGAGCAGCCGAGGAGATCGTGGCTGGGGGGGGGGGGGGGTAGCAGCCCAGCCTGCCAAGGTGCCACCTCGGCCGGTTGGACAATCTAGGTGAGGCCAGAGGCTCTGCATGGGACTAGGCCTCACCACGTCACTCTGTCACAGTACTTTGTGCTAGAGTCGATAAATACTGCTATGGAGTCAGCATGTACTACTGTAGTTATAGCAGGTACCACCACAGTCGGTATGCACTGCTATAATCATAGCAGGTACCACCAGAGTCAGTACGCACTGCTGTTAGATTTTTTATATTTTTTAAAAAAATTGGCCAGAGCAACGCAAGGTGTAAAAGCTAGTTATTATTAAAAGGGGCAGAGAGCAAGGAGAGGGGAGTTCTTGTTGCGGAGGGCTGCAGCCGCGGTGAGTTACCTGGCCGTATGACCGGGGACGTTGCCCGTGGGTCATCTAATGAACACCTTTACTGAACATGGCGGCGGTGTGGGCTGAATATTTCCACGAGCGACAAACGAGGGTGTCCGAGCGTCCACGCATGCGGTTTTATTTCTCGAGCGTCATGAGAGAGAGCCGTGTCTTCGCGGCATCGAGCCCGGCGATGGGCACGCCCCTCTCCCGGTCGCAGAGTCAGGTCGCCGCGTCAAGGGGCCACCCGACCGGCATAAATAATGGCAAGCTTGCTCACTTGTTAAATACCAACAACCGTGATGAGCACGGCGCCAGGGAATCGGTCCAGACCTCCCCCCCGCCCCGCCTCGTACAAACACAACCGCGCGGATGCATCTCACGTGCCCCTTTTCCAATGGCACACCTGAGCCAGAGTGGTGCCAGCACAGTACAGATGGTGGTTTTCCCCTTGGTCACACCCGAGCCAGTGCAGGGCCAGCACGGTACAAGTGGTGGTTTGCCCACTGGTGCATCCGAGCCATGCCAGAACTGAACCGCGACAATTACGCCGCTGCTACTGTAGCTGCTACCACCCTTAGAATAAATCCCAGTTCGGTTGGGGGCAAAGCAGGGTCAGGAAGGGGGGGGGTGGCTGGGCTAACGACTCGGCGCACCGAGTCACGACATCGACTGGCCTCCGCAGTGGAAAAACTACGGCTAGCGCCCCCCTGCCCCCCTGGCCATGCTGGGTGGCCGGCTTGGCTACGGCTCGGTTGTGGCGTGGGAAAAAAGGATCTCCATGACGGAGAGTACAAAACAGAAGATTTGCAAAGACAAAGATCCCCCGTATAGCCTTAACAGAATGTTGGGGTAGGTGTTGTTAGCAAGTAGTACCTATGAAAGCCGGTACTCTGATACACAAGGGGGTAGGTGGCCAGCACCATGCCGGACCACCTTTGTCTCCCCAGTAGCGATGTTTACACACCACACCAGGTACTCATTTGAGGCTGAGTCGACCTAGGGGAGGCCCAGGATCAGTTCAGATAATCGTCACTGGTGTTGGCCGTGAGCGGAATTCGAACTCGGGTCGCCGGGTTTGTAGCACAGGGTAGCGCTAACCACGACACTACCTCTCCACACTCAGGTAGTTGCGTTCCTGAAGAACACCGCATTATAATTAATAATAATAAACGATATAGGCGGGTAAAGCAGAGTCCACGATAACGCGGGAGACGATGGCGTAACGCAGGGCCCGAACAAAGACCGAGGCGTGTGGTGGCAGGTAGCGTCCATAAGCTGCATCCAGCAGCATCCTAATGCCTCTTGCGATGACGATGCTATGCCGAGGCAGCAGCCGTACATACCACCGCTTTATTCTTACTCGCACTGCGACGTAGTTCTATTCACTCGATCGTATTACGTATTCAATTGGCATCCGCGTTATATAAAAAAAATGCTTTCCCTGAATACATTCATCGCGTTGTATCATCCAATTCACTTGAAGGAAGCCACGCGCAATAGCAGAACTGACTGTACTGGGTGTTTATTTTTTAGCCTAGGGGGCACCCCCAGTGGCAGCTGCTTCTGTGCGGCACAGAGGCAACTCTGTTTCCCCGAGGATTTGAGAGTGAGAATTCGCAGCCAGTAGGGAGGCATCTGTCAGGCTGTCCCAATGATGTGATCGTAAATTGTAATATCGTAAAAAAATGTACAAGAGAATCCTCTACTTACGAACTTTCAGAGATACGAACAAACCTGTCCGTATGTCCAGTTGCCCGTTCGGACCGAGAGTCGTAAGTTCCACCACCGCGCAATAGATGGCGGTGATGGCATTTACATCTGCAGAACTTAAAGAACCAGTGGTATCTACATCTGCAAAACATGAAGAACCATTGGTTTCTACATCTGCAGAACATGAAGAACCAGTGGTATCTACATCTGCAAAACATGAAGAACCATTGGTTTCTACATCTGCAGAACATGAAGAACCAGTGGTATCTACATCTGCAGTACATGAATAACCAGTGGTATCTACATCTGCAGGAGATTATACAACTATTAAAGCCATTCCCCGTGTTTAGTGTACATGTCGTACACCATGTTTGGAATCGACATGATTAAAGTTGGACTCACAAACAAATCGACTTACAAACAGACCTCTGGAACCCAACTCGTTCGTAAATATGAGTCTCTATATTTCACATTTGGCAGATGTGGATAATCTCAAGCTTCAACTTCATTATTGTGTCACACAGGTTGAGGGAGCTCCGGAGACCAGGGTATGAGTCTCACTTGCAAGAGTGATCTGGGAAACAAGTCTACAGCGCGTAGGAAGGAGAGGGGAAGGGGGAAGGGGGAAGGCGGGGGAGCGGGTGCGACGATGGCTGCTGTGTGTGATCCATGGTCGGGTGATTTGCCGCATGATTTTCCAAGGAAATGTTTGTACGTTTCTTTGGTGAGGATGTTCTCATTTTTCTTTTTCGTGGACTCGCCCTGCAGTAGCCGCGCGGAACACCAGGGGTCAACAGACCCCCTGCAGTCGCCTCACAGAGCACCACTATCTCTGATTGGCTGCATGTCTCAAATCTGATTGGCTGCGTGTCTTGTATCTGATTGGCTGCATGTCTTGTATCTGATTGGCTGCACGTCTTGTATCTGATTGGCTGCATGTCTTGTATCTGATTGGCTGTATGTCTTGTATCTGATTGGCTGTGTGTCTCGAATATGATTGGCTGTGTGTCTTGTATCCGATTGGCTGTGTGTCTCGAATATGATTGGCTGTACGTCTTGTATCTGATTGGCTGTGTGTCTTGTATCTGATTGGCTGCATGTCTCGAATATGATTGGCTGTGTGTCTTGTATCCGATTGGCTGTGTGTCTCGAATATGATTGGCTGTACGTCTTGTATCTGATTGGCTGTGTGTGTCGGACCCCGCTCGTCTCCGATTGGCTCATCCTCGTCCGCGTGCCGTGTGCAGCGACGACGATGACGACGAGGGTGGCGGTGAGGAGGGTGGTGGTGAGGAGGATGCTGAGGAGGGTGGTGAGGAGGAGGGTGTGGTCCGCGTCTTCGCGTGGAGCAGCCGCGTGTTGGTCACCTCGCAGTCGATCTGCATCATCGACTCTCCCACATCCTCCTGGACCACCGAGTCTACGTCACAACAACAACAATCGCCGTCGTCGTCATCATGTTGTATATATAGGCCTTTTTCCATTATTTCATATTAAGAATAATTCGGCCAATATTTTTTGTTATATTAAATAAATGGAGCCAACACTCTGCTACCCCTCACAAGCCGCACCAAGCATCTGGAGGTCGTAAAAGGCCATTAAATAATAAACTCCGGAGCAAAGGAAGGCTAACGACTATCTGCAAAATCTCCAGATTGTCAAAGGACCGCATGCCATGACCTCGCCACACAAACAGAGCCATAAAAAAACACGCGCACATAGTAGAGACAAACGGACGTTACAACTCGGGTTTTCTTTAACGGTAAAAGTTTGAAACTCAGCAAAAAGAACAAATCGACGTTATAGACTGCAGTCTATATTAGTGGTTTTATTATTACTTATTTTATTTCACCCTTATTAAACTCATATATTATTTTGTATTGTATCTTTCTATCCATGTGAATTCTGGCAGTCAAGAAAGTGAGGGCTTGGTTATATCTCCAGCCTCGGGATATCAAATATAACTCCAAAATAAAACACCGATCCCTGGCGACAAAGACATATAACAAAGCTTGGCAAAACCCTCGGAATAATGGTGGTAACGAGGGGCATTACGAATCTTGGTTAAACATGAACCCAATAATAACCACGAGATATTAGACCGGGGGTAACTCATAAGAGATACAAGAAATAGGTTCAACACACACAAGACCAGATAATATGTATTCATGGAATCAAATCCTCCCCGGCCACTTTTGTCTTCCAACAATTTGACACAAACACATGGTACACATACGTAAGAAGGGTGTCTGGCCTCGAGATAACAAACACTATGAAAGGGGGGGGGATGCAAACAAGCATAAATTTCGACGGAAAACAGCCCGCCCGGGGTCATGAACGGGACGAGGGCGGGGCAATCAGGCGCGGCCACGGAGAGAGGACGGTGATAGAGGGCATCTGTTTTTTTTCATCTCTCGCAAGAGACGCGCAGAGAGGGGAGAGAATTTCGGATATAACCAACGACGCAGATCATGCAACCAGTTCTACGACAAGCAACATAGTCTTGTAAAGTAGCAGGCTGCGGGGAGTCTTGCAAAGGAGCAGGCTGTGGGGCTTGGCCTCGATTTTAGCAATGGGTGTGGTGTCTCACAGAGAAGAGGGGCGAGGTGATGCTCGGTGCTGAGTTCGGCATGGACCGACAGAGTATCGCTGAAAGTTTTATTCTACATTTATCCTGATGTTTTGAGTCGCTTGCAAAGTCAAGGATTGCGACAAGTTGTATTGTACTAAGCTTTCACAGTTGTTTAAAAGGTGTGCGAATACAATTCAAAAATTTTGAGAGCGAGTGCCAGCTCCCACGAGCAGCTGCGATTGGCAGGCTCCGGGAACCTGCCCCCGTGACTGGCACATCGTCAACGAGCTGCAACAGCAGAAGCCACGAGTCTACGAAGTCAACGCAAAGAGTTTAGCACTGCAAACGACAGACAAGGATGGCGAGGCTTGCCGAGTAGCGATGGGTCAACGAGTACGAGTTCAGTGCTGACAGAAGAAGTATCGCTCAAAGTTATTCTACACTGAGTGCCAGCTCCCACGGGCAGCTGCAGCTCGAGTTGATCTGACAAGCAACGTCAAGCAATCAACCTCGAGAAAGAGCAGAAAGCACCAAGCATCGACTAAGCCAGCACGCAGCAGCGCCACTTAGCACCACTGAGCAAAGTCAGCTGGCAGCGGACAAGCTACAAGCGTTGTGCCGACTCAGCTCATCCAGCAGGAGAAAGAGCCTGAGCCAGCGCAGCCCTGAAGTAAGGGCAGGTGTCCATGTGAAGCTGGCAGCTGCACGATCAAGGAGAGAGCACGGAGCAGTGGAAAGAGCCTGACCAGCCGCCCATGAGCAAGAGTGTTCGCGCCAGCAAGAGTGCCGTGGGTTCGACCCACACACACACCGACAATCACCAGCTGGGAACCAAGGCAAGAGTGAGGAGCGGCGACCAGCAGACGAGAGCTGCGCACGCTATCTGACGACGGAATCATCGCGCACCACGACGGCGAGCGTCATGCCGACTCGTCATCCAGCAGCGAACAAACAGCTGCAGACGACGCCCAAAGCGAGACGGGGACGAACGAAGCCGTTTGTATGACACGCCCACCCTCACACGCTCACTGCTCTGCAGGGAACAAACTAAATTTTTGGTACAAGGAATGCCCAACCTCGGCGTCTGCTTTACGCAAAAAATTGATCAAAGAAGACACACGCACACAACACGCATATCGGGACTAATAAGATTGTTCCAAAAAGTTATCTTTGTGTTTCAAGAAGGGTTGGCATTCCAAGGTGGTGCGTTAAATATAAACTGATCATGAAAAGCATTACTGCCCATTGAGTTACGTGGATACGGTCGTTTAGAAGTATTTTAGGCATTCGTTTTCGTTAATTGCATAATCTTGCCAATGAATTAATTGACGTATACTTTTGCCTTCGGGAATGTTTTTTAATTGCCGTGACTTTAAACAATAACAACGGTAGGAGGCTGCTAGATATTTGTGCAGCCCATTGGCTTGTAATTACCAACATGCTGTTCCGGCATCGGCGCATCCACACAACATCATGGATGCATGCTGGGTCCAAGCAAGAACATCTGCTGGACTACATAGTGACGGACCAGCGGATGCGAGCCCATGTCCTTGACACCAGGACCTACCGTGGAGCTGATCTGCCCTCTGACCATCGACTAGTCATCTGTAAGATGCGCCTGCCATTCTTCCACTCCGGTGGTGGGTGTACACCCAGGACCCCATTCCAACCTAAGGTGTTCTGGTCTCCGTTAGCTGATGAAAGTTGCAATCGAGAATTTTATCATCGCTTGCAGCTGGGGTTGGCATCCCCCAACTCCTCCTGATGTCGAGGGTAAATGGGCGAGGTTTAGGACTGTAACTCATGCAGCTGCAATGGCTGCTTTGGGTACGCGGTCCAGACCTCCCCAGAGACCCTGGCTGACGGAGGAAGTGTTCAGGATGGTTGAGAAAAAGCGACAGGCCCACTCTAATCGTCTACAGCATCCCACGTCAGAGAATGAGGAGGCTTACCGCAGACTTCGCTCGGAGGTTCGGAGAGCCATGAGGCGCTGCAAGGATGGGTGGTGTTCGCGGGTTGCTGAGGAGATGGAGTCTGCCTCAGTGGCCAGCGGTCACAAATCACTATTTAACTCCATCAAAAAAGTAACCTGCAGCGCTACACCTATTTCCATCATTAGGGGAAAAAACGGTGATCCAATCTCCGACCTCCAGAAACAGGTTTGCAGATTTGCTGAGCATTTCTGTGAGGTCCTGGCGGAGGGGAAATCCCTCAGCCAGGAAAACAACGTGGAACAAAGTGGGGACGACCCTGCTGAGGCTGCGGTTCCTCAAATATTGGAGGAAGAAGTCACCCCCTGTGAGTGGCTGGCTGAGATGCCATCTGTTGAGGAAGTACTGAAGGCGATCCGGAATCTGAGACCAGGAAAGGCACCGGGCAGAGATGATCTCACAAGCGAAATGCTGACGGAGGGTGGCGTTTGTGCACAGACTGCCCTACATGACATAATAACAACAGTCTGGACCACTGGACGGGTTCCGCAGGATTGGAAGGATGCCCTAGTGGTCCCCCTATTTAAGAAGGGGGACCGCACAGACTGTAACAACTACAGGGGCATCTCACTCCTCAGTGTGCCGGGAAAGGTCCTGGCAAGGATTATTCAACATCGCCTTGCTACGCACGCTGAGGAAAGGCTTGCGGAGCCCCAATGCGGCTTCAGGAAAGGGCGGTCCTGTACAGATGCCATATTTTCTGTCAGTCTGCTACAGCAGAGGTGTAGGGAATTCCAACAAGACCTACATCTCTGCTTTATTGACCTGGTCAAGGCCTATGATACCATCAGTAGGCCTGGGCTCTGGGTTGTTATTCGTGCTTTCGGAGTCCCTGACCCTCTGCTCACGATCATTAGGGACCTTCATGATGGTTGTTGTTGTGTGACCGTGCGTGTGACCGTGCGTGTGACCGTGCGAGCATCACCGTTGTGCTGGGCCATGGCGGGCATGAGGAGCGACATGCGTGGCCTCCGTGTGTGGTTGTGAGCGCGGGCCGGGAGAAGCAGGTGGTCCTGGACACAACATGACAACAACAACACGATTGTGAGCACAACACAACAACTCGACAACAACACAAGCACAATACAACATTACAACACGACAACAACACAACAAGCACAACACAACAACTGCAACACGACAACACAATAACACAACATTACAACACGACAACAATGCAATGGAACGTGATGTAAAGAAACACAATGACACTGTATGGATGGGTGAGTGTACGACAATGCGACTATGCTATAGTGACTGTACGACTGTACGCCAGTCGAACAACATGACTGTACGACTGTACGCCAGTAGGATGGGGTGACTGTATCACTGTCCACCAGTAAAGAGGCTCGACCGTACAACCGAACGTCTTGTGTGACTGTAGCCACAGCAGCATCAGCGTGGTCCCCGTGCCGCTGGTCGGGAGGTTCACCCGTCGGAAGGAGACCACGTAGAAGGTGTCGTCCCGGCGTCCAATCAGCTCCAGGAAGTCCCAGGATTGGCGCCAGCGCCACTCGCCCGGCACCTGCAGCTGGCTGGACAGCGCCCTGGGCAAGCCACGAGATACCAAGGCCACGCTGGTGGCCTCTGTGTGCAAGGGCCCTCCCTCCACTGAGCTATCACAAATGATGTATGTGTGTGTGTGTACGTGTTAGTGTGTGTGTGAATGTGTGTACGTGTTAGTGTGTGTGTGACTGTGTGTACGTGTTAGTGTGTGTGTGAATGTGTGTACGTGTTAGTGTGTGTGTGAATGTGTGTACGTGTTAGTGTGTGTGTGAATGTGTGTACGTGTTAGTGTGTGTGTGAATGTGTGTACGTGTTAGTGTGTGTGTGACTGTGTGTACGTGTTAGTGTGTGTGTGAATGTATGTAAGTGTTAGTGTGTGTGTGACTGTGTACGTGTTAGTGTGTGTGGATGTGTGTACGTGTGTGTGTGGAGAGTGGTGGTGTAGCGGCAAAGACCCGAGTTCGATTCCCACTCACGACCAACACCAGTGATGATCATTTGAACTGGTCCTGGGCCTCTCCTTGGTCTACTCGGTCTCAAATAAGTACCTGGTGTGATGTGCAAACATCGCCACTAGGGAGACAAAGGTGGCCACCCACCCCCTCGGTGTGCCGTGCCGGCCTTCATAGGTGCTACTCACTAACAGCACTTGCCCAACAGTCTGTAAGGCTGTATGGGGATCTTTGTGTTGAACTTCTGCAGGAGGAGGCTCATGACGCGGCTACTGGGCAGTTGGAGGCAGTCAGCCTCCAGCAACAGCGGAGGGCAGAAGAGCGACGCTCACAACGAGCGGAGCGCCGGGCAGATAATAAGCAGCAAGCTGCCACAGTAGGGGGTACAGCTGGTGTGCATCTACCAGTCATCTCAGTCAGTCAACCCATGGCACCTGCAGGGTCTGTTCGATGAGCTCATTCCAGAGAACCTTCAACACTTCACGTGACCTCAAAGTGCACCTGGCCCGGCACAGGCGCATTGGTGACGTCACCGCCACTTAGTAGCGAATGGCAGTTATTGGTAATATTGGTTGAACTTTCGCACCATGTGTAGCCAACCGCGCTCATCGGAGGGTGGGTCAGTGAGTACGTGAGTCTGCATGTGTTTTTCTCCATGTTGAACTTCTTTCGCACCGTAAGTAGCCAACTGTGCTAACTGGAGGTGCAGGGGAAGGATAACAAACTAAACAAAAAAAAGTTCTAAAGAAATGAGTTTTCGATCTCGTTGATTATTTAAAAGTGCACAGCTCCAGTGGCTTCCTAATATCGGAAGGGAGATAAGCTCAACCAAGTGGCTTGTCATCATGTGGACATTTATAGCAGCAACCAAATACTCTAAAACCGAAGGACCTGGAGAACAATCCACGCGACCACAGGGAGAGAGAGACGCAGACTCCAAATATACATCAGCAGGCATCGTCGGGGCCGGGATCGAACCCACAACCTCCTGCAGACCAGGCGAGGTAGTTAACATCTCCTAGCCACCGTGATGATGAGAGCGAGACGCAGACTCCAAAGATACAGCAGCAGCAGGCATCGTCAGGGTCGGGATCAATCCCAAAACCTTCTGCATACCAGGCGAGGGAGGTAACATGTCCTCACTGCTCTCGGTTGGTAGGGAGTGTGGGAGGAGGTTGGTAGGTTGGTAGAGGGGTAGAGGGGTAACAGGGTAGAGGTAGGCTGGTAGGGGGTAGGCTTGTATATTGGTAAGGAGAGTAAGTAGGTATGTAGGTAGTATGTAGTATGTAGGTAGTATTTAAGTAGTATGTAAGTAGTATGTAGTATATATGTGTAGTGCCGTAGATGGGCCACACTTACCGGCAGTGGTGGATAGGGCCCATCTGCAGGTACCTTGGACCCCCAGGGGAGGGGCCACTGTGCCAGCCCAAGAGGGGGGGGGGGCTGCTGGGGGCTCTAGGATCCTAGGCAGCTAGGCCCTCTGCGCCGGGCCTCAGGATCCCAGACAAGCCAGACAGCTGAGCCCCTTGGGGCCACCAGCGGGGGGCTGCGGGGGATCTGGGATCCCACGCAACCCCACCCCTCGATGGGCAAGAGGGATAAAAGGGCCGCTCCCCAGCCGATTGGGGGCCAGTCGCAGCTCAAGACCCAAGACAAGCCAGCTGAGGACCCTGGACCCCCTCGCCCCGCTTGTCCTTGTAAGGGCCGGGACGCTGTGCGGGCCAGTGGTGGGACTCCCGGCTCTACGTCCTTGTAAGGGCGAGTTCCGAGGAAGCCAGAGTCTAGAACCGCACCTTGGCTGGGTCGGGTCAGGTAGCCTCCCCTAGGGTAATTGTAGCCGGAGGACCCCATAGCGTAGCCAGTGTCAGGCACGCTAGGATAAGGCTGTGTCCCTAGGCTGTGTCCCTAGGCTGTGTCCCTAGGCTGTAACAGAGTATAAGGACTTTTGGAGTGTTGTATCGTAATAAAGAAATTACCTCTACAAGTGTCTCTGGAACCCATTACATATGTAAGTAGTATGTAGGTAGTATGTCGTATGTATGTAGGGGTACCTCTCTGCGCTGTTGTCGGTGGGGGCCATGGGGGGGATGAGTGGGGGGGAGCGGCGCTGAGACCTCCTCTGCGGGGACACGGACAGTGGCGCGCACACACAGCGAGTGACCCCCTGTCAGAGTGCGCGTGAGTGAGTGAGAGTGATTGTGTGTGTGAGTGTGTGAGCGTGTGCGTGTGTGTGAGTGTGTGTGTGAGCGTGTGAGTGTGTGTGTGAGCGTGTGAGTGAGTGAGAGTGAGTGCGTGTGAGTCAGTGCGTGTGAGTCAGTGCATGTGAGTGAGTGCGTGCGAGTGAGTGCGTGTGAGTGAGAGTGAGTGAGTGTGTGTGAGTGTGTGAGTGAGTGAGAGTGAGTGCGTGTGAGTCAGTGCGTGTGAGTGAGTGCGTGTGAGTGAGTGCGTGTGAGTGAGTGCGTGTGAGTGAGTGCGTGTGAGTGAGTGCGTGTGAGTGAGTGCGTGCGTGCGAGTACGTGCGAGTGAGTGCGTGCGAGTGAGTGCGTGTGAGTGAGAGTGAGTGAGTGCGTGTGTGCGAGTGAGTGCAAGTGCGAGTGAGTGTGTGTGAGTGAGTGCGTGTGAGTGAGTGCGTGTGAGTGTGTGTGTGAGTGAGTTTGTGAGTGAGAGTGTGTGTGAGTTGCGTGTGAGTGAGTGCGTGTGAGTGAGTGCGTGTGAGTGCGTGCGAGTGAGTACGTGCGAGTGAGTGCGTGCGAGTGAGTGCGTGCGAGTGAGTGCGTGTGAGTGAGAGTGAGTGAGTGCGTGTGTGCGAGTGAGTGCAAGTGCGAGTGAGTGCGTGTGAGTGAGTGCGTGTGAGTGAGTGTGTGTGTGAGTGAGTTTGTGAGTGAGTTTGTGAGTGAGAGTGTGTGTGAGTTGCGTGTGAGTCAGTGCGTGTGAGTGATTGTGAGTGTGTGTGAGTGAGTGCATGTGAGTCAGTGCGTGTGAGTGAGTGCGTGTGAGTGAGTGCGTGTGAGTGAGTGTGTGTGAGTGAGTCTGGCAAAACAACCTCCTACCTCCTCGCGGTGCCGGACGGGCAACACTGTCGTGGGCAGTGCTGTGGGGGGAGGGCCAATGCCCATTGGCCTCTCCCCTCATGGCATCTGTGCCCACCACAGTGGCTAAACGGGGGCTCTGGACGGGTGCGAGGGGCTGGTAACCCCTCCACCTTCAATTAACCACCACTAAACTACGAATTAAACATAAACCTGTAACTAATAAGCTTGTGCCGGAGGCCCCGGGGGGTCAGGCTTTTATGACGTCTCCTGGCCAAACCCCATTTGGCGGAGCCAGGAGATTGAATTTTCACCCTCGGGGCTCCTCCAGAAACAACAAAAAACCATTGCGGATGGCCACGTGGAATGTTCGAACGCTCACTGCGGAGGAGAGGTTGCCACTCCTCTGTCGGGAGCTGGACCGGTACCGCCTGGATCTCTGTGGCATTCAGGAGGTCCGGTGGACCGGTTCTGGCTCCTGCCACCATGAGGGGTGGACAGTCCTCTACTCGGGGCAGGAGACTGCCAAACAACAGGGTGTGGCTCTTCTTCTGAACAAAAGAATGAAGGGGGCGTGGGAGCGTGGCGGTGAGGTGTGGGAAGCTGTAAGCCCCAGGATACTTTGGGCTCGCCTTCCCATCAACCAGAGGCGAGGAGTGGTGGTCGTGGTTACTTATGCCCCCACCGAAGACGAACATCCGTGGAGGGATGCAGGCAAAGCCGATGAGTCAGACGCTTTCTATGACCTCCTGTCACAGGTGCTGGCTAAAGTGGCCACTCGGGACAGAGTCATCTTGTTGGGTGACTTCAATGCCCGAGTTGATCATGATGCTGGCACCTGGTCTGGAGTGATTGGAAGGCATGGGCCAGATCAGCTCAATAACAACTGTAGGAGGCTGCTAGATTTTTGTGCAGCCGATGGGCCTGTAATTACCAACACGCTCTTCCGGCATCAGCGCATCCACACCACATCATGGATACATGCCGGGTCCAAGCAAGAACATCTGCTGGACTACATAGTGACAGACCAGCGGATGCGAGCCCATGTCCTTGACACCAGGACCTACCGTGGAGCTGATCTGCCCTCTGACCATCGACTCGCCATCTGTAAGATGTGCCTGCCATTCTTCCACTCCGTTGGTGGGTGTACACCCAGGACCCCATTCCAACCAAAAGTGGCCTGGTCTCAGTTAGCTGATGAAAGTTGCAAGCGAGAATTTCATCATCGCTTGCAGCTGGGGTTGGCATCGTCCCCCACTCCTACTGATGTCGAGGGTAAATGGGCGAGGTTTAGGACTGTGACTCATGTAGCTGCAATGGCTGCTTTGGGTACGCGGTCCAGACCTCCCCAGAAAGCCTGGCTGACAGAGGAGGTGTTCAGGTTAGTTGAGAAAAAGCGACAGGCCCACTCTCATCGGTTACAGCATCCCACGTCAGAGAATGAGGAGGTTTACCGCAGCCTTCGCTCGGAGGTTCGGAGAGCCGTGAGGCGCTGCAAGGATGGGTGGTGGTCGCGGGTTGCTGAGGAGATAGAGTCTGCCTCAGTGGCCAGCGATCACCAATCATTATTTAACTCCATCAAAAAAGTAACCTGCAGCGCCACACCTATTACCATCATTAGGGGAAAAACGGTGATCCAATCTCCAACCCCCAGGAACAGGTTTGCAGATTTGCTGAGCATTTCTGTGAGGTCCTGGGGGAAGGGAAATCCCTCAGCCAGGAAAACATCATGGCACAAAGTGGGGATAACCCTGCTGAGGCTGTGGTGCCTCAAATATTGGAAGAGGTCACCCCCTGTGAGTGGCTGGCTGAGGTGCCATCTGTTGAGGAAGTACTGAAGGCGATCCAGAGTCTGAGACCAGGAGACCAGGAAAGGCACTGGGCAGAGATGATCTCCCAGGCGAAATGCTGAGGGAGGGTGGCGTTTGTGCACAGACTGCCCTATATGACATCATAACAACAGTCACAACCACTAAACGGGTTCCGCAGGATTGGAAGGATACCCTGGTGGTCCCCCTCTTTAAGAAGCGGGACCGCACAGACTGTAACAACTACAGGGGCATCTCACTCCTCAGTGTGCCGGGAAAGGTCCTGGAAAGGATTATTCAACATCGCCTTGCTAGGCACGCTGAGGAGAGGCTTGCGGAGCCCCAATGCGGTTTCAGGAAAGGGCGGTACTGCACAGATGCCATATTTTCTGTCCATCTGCTACAGCAGAGGTGTAGGAAATTCCAACAAGACTTACATCTCTGCTTTATTGACCTGGTCAATGCCTATGATACCATCAGTAGGCCTGGGCTCTGGGTTGTTCTTCGTGCTTTCGGAGTCCCTGACCCTCTGCTAACGATCATTAAGGACCTTCATGATGGTGAGCGGGCCCGGGTAAAACTACGTGGCCGGGAGTCAGAGCCTTTCCCTGTACACCTTGGGGTGCGACAGGGATGTCCTCTGGCTCCCACATTATTTAACATCTATTTTGACCTCGTAGTTCGTGAAGCCTTCAATAGCTGTACCGGGGGAATTTCCATTTGGTACAGATATAATGGGAGGCTGATCGACGCCCGGGTGCGATCAAGGGATGGCTCCCTATTGGTCAACCACGTTATGCATGCCGATGATTTGGTAATAGCTGCTCATTCAGAAGAGGAGTTGGAGATGCTGCTGCTGAGACTGGAGCGTGCCACTAAGAGGTGGGGCCTTACCATCAGCCCCACCAAAACTAAGCACCTGCCTGGGTATTTTGTACCATCGAACACTCCACCCCCACAACTCCCAATTGGTGATGGGGCAGTTGTGGAGAGAGTGGAGAGTTTCCCATACCTGGGCAGTGTGCTTATGACCGGCTCCAGTTTATCAGCAGAGGTCTCACTCCGAATCAGTCGAGCGGCAATATCTTTTCATCGGTTGCGTAACGCTGTGTGGAAGCTACCTGGTCTGTCGCTCCGCACGAAGCTTCAGGTCTTCTCGGCCACAGTCATTCCCTCCCTTCTCTACGCTTGCGAAACGTGGACCCCCCTAGTGGAGCATCTTCGCCGGTTGGAAACATTTAGGCTGGCCTGCCTACGATCCATCCTGGGTTTAACCAGGCTAGATTGTGTGAGGAGCTCACAAATCCTTGAAAGATCTGGGCAAAGTCCCATCAGTGAGCTCCTCCGGCAGGCAAGGATGCGTTGGCTGGGTAATGTAGCCCGCATGCCCAGCCAGCGCATGCCTAAACAGCTTTTGTTCGGCCGGATCGAGGGGGTTAAACGGCTGCAGCACGGACTAGAAAAGGGATGGAGTGATGTGGTACAGGAGGACGTGGAGCTGAGTGGACTTGCCGATGACTGATACCAGCGGTGTCAAGATCGGCCTCAATGGAGGAGGCTCGTGAAGGACGCTACTGGGCAGTTGGAGGCAGTTGCCCTGTTTGAAAAAGAGCTGTATAGCTCATCGGCTTCCTCCAGAATAATACATATTCTGATTCTGACAACGAAGGGCGGAGGAGCGACGCTCACAACAACGAGCGGAGCGCCGGGTGGCTAAAGCACAGCAAGTTGGTACAGTAGGGGGCACAGGTGGTGCATCAGCCAGTCATCTCAGTCATCTCGGTCAGTCGACCCGTGGCACCTGGGTCTGCCCCGTGACCTCCTGCCAGCGGGCGTTCGACACTTCACGTGGCCTCAAGGTGCACATGGCCTGGCACAAGCGTTGTGGTGGCGTCACCACCACTTAGTGGCGAATGGCGGTTGTTGTTGTTGTTGTGAGAGTCAGTGAGTGATCCCTGTGAGTGATCACCGGGGGGGTTGAGCGTGCCGCTGGAGTGAGCACGGTGCGATTGCGCTGCCGCTCGTGCCGCAGAATCCATCCATGCAGCTCCCCAGACAGCCTGACAGACACATGCAAAAAATATAAAGATCCCTCATGTAGCCTTCCAGAGTGTAGGGGCAAGTGCTATTATAGAGCAGCACCTATGAAGGCTGGCACGGCACACGAAGGGGGTGGGTGGCCAGCATCACGCCCGGCCGCCTTTGTCTCCCCAGTGGCGATGTTTACTACACAACGTACCAGGTACTCATTTGAGGCCGAGTCGACCTAGGGGAGGCCGAGGACCGGTTCGGATAATCGCTGTAACGGGTGTTGGCCGTGAGCGGGAACCGTACCTGGGTTGCCGGGTTCGTAGTGCAGCGCGTGCTCGCCACTACGCTACCGCTCCCCATAAAACACACACACGTACACACACGCGCACACACGCGCACACACGTGCACACACGCGCGCGCACACACTCACACGCAGATGCGCGCGCACACGCATACGAGCACACATACATGCACACACACGTAAATACGCAAACATGTAAATACGCACACACACACGTAAATACGCACACGAGCGAGTGGTGAGCGGTGGGCGCGTGGTGAGCGAGTGGTGAGTGGTGAGCGGTGGGCGCGTGATGAGCGAGTAGTGAGTGAGTGGTGAGTGGTGAGCGCGTGATGAGCGAGTGGTGAGTGAGTGGTGAGTGAGTGGTGAGCGGTGGGCACGTGATGAGCGAGTAGTGAGCGAGTGGTGAGTGGTGAGTGGTGAGCGGTGGGCGCGTGATGAGCGAGTGGTGAGTGAGTGGTGAGCGGTTGGTGGGTGGTGAGCGAGTGGTGAGCGAGTGGTGAGCGAGTGGTGAGCGAGTGGTGAGCGAGTGGTGAGCGTGTTGTCAGCGAGTGGTGAGTGAGTGGTGAGCGGTTGGTGGGTGGTGAGCGAGTGGTGAGCGAGTGGTGAGCGAGTGGTGAGCGGTTGGTGGGTGGTGAGCGAGTGGTGAGCGAGTGGTGAGCGAGTGGTGAGCGAGTGGTGAGCGAGTGGTGAGCGAGTGGTGAGTGAGTGGTGAGCGGTTGGTGGGTGGTGAGCGAGTGGTGAGTGTGTGGTGAGCGAGTGGTGAGCGTGGTGAGCGGTGAGCACGTGGTGAGCGAGTGGTGAGCGAGTGGTGAGTGTGTGGTGAGCGAGTGGTGAGCGTGGTGAGCGGTGAGCACGTGGTGAGCGAGTGGTGAGCGAGTGGTGAGCGGTGGGCGCGTGGTGAGCGAGTGGTGAGCGAGTGGTGAGTGTGTGGCGAGCGGTGGGCGCGTGGTGAGCGAGTGGTGAGCGGTGGGCGTGTGGTGAGCGAGTGGTGAGCGAGTGGTGAGCGGTGGGCGCGTGGTGAGCGAGTGGTGAGCGAGTGGTGAGTGAGTGGTGAGCGAGTGGTGAGCGAGTGGTGAGCGAGTGGTGAGTGTGTGGCGAGCGGTGGGCGCGTGGTGAGCGAGTGGTGAGCGGTGGGCGTGTGGTGAGCGAGTGGTGAGTGAGTGGTGAGCGGTTGGTGGGTGGTGAGCGAGTGGGGAGTGAGTGGTGAGCAGTGGGCACGTGGTGAGCGAGTGGTGAGCGAGTGGGGAGTGAGTGGTGAGCGGTGGGCGCGTGGTGAGCGAGTGGTGAGCGAGTGGTGAGTGTGTGGCGAGCGGTGGGCGCGTGGTGAGCGAGCGGTGAGTGAGTGGTGAGCGGTTGGTGGGTGAGTGTTGAGTGATGAGTGAGTGGTGAGCGAGTGGTCAGTGTGTGGTGAGTGGTGGACGCGTGGTGAGAGAGTGGTGAGCGAGTGGTGAGCGGTTGGTTAGTGGTGAGCGAGTGGTGAGTGGTGAGCGAGTGGTGAGTGAGTGGTGAGCGAGTGGTGAGTGATTGGTGAGCGAGTGGTGAGTGAGTGGTGAGCGAGTGGTGAGCGTGGTGAGCGGTGGGCGCGTGGTGAGCGAGTGGTGAGCGAGTGGTGAGCGAGTGGTGAGTGAGTGGTGAGCGAGTGGTGAGCGAGTGGGGAGTGAGTGGTGAGCGGTGGGCGCGTGGTGAGCGAGTGGTGAGCGAGTGGTGAGCGAGTGGTGAGCGAGTGGTGAGTGAGTGGTGAGCGAGTGGTGAGCGAGTGGTGAGCGAGTGGTGAGCGGTGGGCGCGTGGTGAGCGAGTGGTGAGCGAGTGGTGAGCGAGTGGTGAGTGAGTGGTGAGCGAGTGGTGAGCGAGTGGGGAGTGAGTGGTGAGCGGTTGGTGGGTGGTGAGCGAGTGGTGAGCGAGTGGTGAGTGAGTGGTGAGCGGTTGGTGGGTGGTGAGCGAGTGGTGAGCGAGTGGTGAGCGAGTGGTGAGCGAGTGGTGAGCAATGGGCGCGTGGTGAGCGAGTGGTGAGTGAGTGGTGAGCGGTTGGTGGGTGGTGAGCGAGTGGTGAGCGAGTGGTGAGCGAGTGGTGAGCGAGTGGTGAGCAATGGGCGCGTGGTGAGCGAGTGGTGAGTGAGTGGTGAGCGGTTGGTGGGTGGTGAGCGAGTGGTGAGCGAGTGGTGAGCGAGTGGTGAGTGTGTGGCGAGTGAGTGGTGAGCGGTTGGTGGGTGGTGAGCGAGTGGTGAGCGAGTGGTGAGCGAGTGGTGAGTGTGTGGCGAGTGAGTGGTGAGCGGTTGGTGGGTGGTGAGCGAGTGGTCAGTGTGTGGTGAGTGGTGAGTGGGTGGTGAGCGAGTGGTGAGCGAGTGGTGAGCGTGGTGAGCAGTGGGCACATGGTGAGCCAGTGGTGAGCGAGTGGGGAGCGAGTGGTGAGCGGTGGGCGCGTGGTGAGCGAGTGGTGAGTGAGTGGTGAGCGGTTGGTGGGTGGTGAGCGAGTGGGGAGTGAGTGGTGAGCGGTGGGCACGTGGTGAGCGAGTGGTGACGGAGTGGTGAGCGGTGGGCGCGTGGTGAGCGAGTGGTGACTGAGTGGTGAGCGTGTTGTGAGCGAGTGGTGAGTGGTGAGCGGTTGGTGGGTGGTGAGCGAGTGGTGAGCGAGTGGTGAGTGAGTGGTGAGCGAGTGGTGAGCGAGTGGTGAGCGTGGTGAGCGGTGGGCACGTGGTGAGCGAGTGGGGAGTGAGTGGTGAGCGGTGGGCACGTGGTGAGCGTGTTGTGAGCGAGTGGTGAGTGAGTGGTGAGCGGTTGGTGGGTGGTGAGCGAGTGGTGAGCGAGTGGTGAGTGAGTGGGGAGTGAGTGGTGAGCGGTTGGTGGGTGAGTGTTGAGTGATGAGTGAGTGGTGAGCGAGTGGTCAGTGTGTGGTGAGTGGTGGGTGCGTGGTGAGAGAGTGGTGAGCGAGTGGTGAGCGGTTGGTGGGTGGTGAGCGAGTGGTGAGTGGTGAGCGAGTGGTGAGTGGTGAGCGAGTGGTGAGTGGTGAGCGAGTGGTGAGTGATTGGTGAGTGAGTGGTGAGCGAGTGGTGAGCGAGTGGTGAGTGTGTGGTGAGCGGTTGGTGGGTGGTGAGCGAGTGGTGAGCGAGTGGTGAGCGAGTGGTGAGTGATTGGTGAGTGAGTGGTGAGCGACTGGTGAGCGAGTGGTGAGTGTGTGGTGAGCGGTTGGTGGGTGGTGAGCGAGTGGTGAGCGAGTGGTGAGTGTGTGGTGAGCGGTTGGTGGGTGGTGAGAGAGTTGTGAGCGAGTGGTGAGTGAGCGGTTGGTGGGTGGTGAGTGGGTGGTGAGTGAGTGGTGAGCGAGTGGTGAGCGAGTGGTGAGCGAGCTACCGCAGGATCTCGCTGCTGTTGAGCTGGATGCAGGACTGGGGTAGGATCACAACTTGGTCGTCCCTCCTCAGGACCAGTTCCGAGTCAGCCCAGCGTGCACTACAACAAAGACAAAGATCCCACGGGTAGCCTCACACAGACTGTAGGGGCAAGTGCTGTTAGCAAGCACCTACGAAGGCCGGCACTGTGGCACACGAGGGGGTGAGTGGCCAGCACCACGCCCGGCCGCCTTTGTCTCCCCAGTGCTGATATTTACGACACTGCACCAGGTACTCATTTGAGGGACAGGGCTCAGCCTAGCGGAGGCTCAGGACTGGTTCAGATCATTGCTGTCACTGGCATTGTTGGCCGTGAGTGGGAATCAAACTCGGGTCTATTCTGGGTTCGTAGCGCAGGGCAGCGCTAACATGCTGGATAAAGGAATCCGCAAGCCATTGAGACTCACAGACTCACACAGACTCAAAAACTCACAGACTCTCACAGAGACTTGCAGGTTCACAAAGATATCCATAGACTCACAAAGACCTAGAGCCTCACACAGAAACCCATAGACTCACACAGATACTGATAGACTAACACAGAGACCCAGAGACTCACACAGAGACACACACAGTAAGTAAAGGTCGGTGGGTGGATGAGTGGATGGGTGAGTGGGTGGGTGGGTGAGTGGGTGGGTGAGTGGGTGGGTGGGTGAGTGGGTGGGTGAGTGGGTGGGTGAGTGGGTGGGTGGGTGGGTGGGTGGGTGGGTGGGTGGGTGAGTGGGTGGGTGGGTGGGTGAGTGGGTGGGTGAGTGGGTGGGTGGGTGGGTGAGTGGGTGGGTGGGGGTGGGTGAGTGGGTGGGTGGGTGGGTGAGTGAGTGGGTGGGTGGGTGGGTGAGTGGGTGGGTGGGTGGGTGAGTGGGTGGGTGAATGGGTGGGCGAGTGAGTGGGTGGGTGAATGAGTGGGTGGGTGAGTGGGGGGTGAGTGGGTGAATGAGTGGGTGAGTGAGTGGGTGGGTGGGCGAGTTGTCATGAAGGGAGCTGTGAGCTTGCTGTTGACCTCTCCCCGTGACCCCTCACCGGCTGTGTGGGCGCTGCGTCTCTGTGGGGGGGGTCGAGGGGGGTGGCTGTGCCCGCTCCTCGTACCCCAGCAGCCTCCGCCCGGGCAGGGGGGGCAGCAGGCGGGGGTGGGGGGCAGGGGAGTGGGGGGCCTCCCCCAGCGGGCCCAGCCTGCAACAGCAGCAACAACTACATCAACAACGTCGTCATCGTCATCGTCGTCAACATCGTCGTCATCATCGTCAAAATCGTCGTCATCATCAACATCGTCGATATCGTCAAAATGAACATCGCCAACATCCACATCATCATCGTCAACATTGTCATCATCGCCATGGAAATCTTCATCGTCAACATCGTCACCACTGTAAACATCGTCATCATCGACATCGTCAACATCGTCGTCGTCATCGTCACTATCGTCAACATTGTCACCACCGTCAACATCGACATCATCATTGTCAACATCGTTAACATGAACATTTTCAACATCGACATCGTCATCATCGTTGACGTCAACATGAACATCGTCAACATCGACATCATCATTGTCAACATCGTTAACATGAACATTTTCAATATCGACATCGTCATCATCGTTGACGTCAACATGAACATCGTCAACATCGACATTATCATTGTCAACATCGTTAACATGAACATTTTCAACATCGACATCGTCATCATCGTCGACGTCAACATGAACATCGTCAACATCGACATCATCATTGTCAACATCGTTAACCATGACCACCATCACCAAAGACAAAGATCCCCTATATAGCCTTAACAGACTGTTGGGGCAAGTGCTGTGAGCGAGCACCTATGAAGGCCGGCACTGGCACGCAAGGGGGTGGGTGGCCAGCACCACGCCCGGCCACCTTCGTCTCCCCAGCGGCAGTGTTTACACACCGCACCAGGTACTCATTTGAGGCTGAATCTACCTAGGGGAGGAACAACAACGGTTCAGTTAATCGCCACTGGTGTTGGCTGTGAGCGGAAATCGAACCCGGGTCGCCAGGTTCGTAGCGCAGTGCATTCACCACTAAGTGGCGGTGATGTCACGACGCTTGTGCCAGGCTATGTGGACGTTGAGGCCACGTGAAGTGTCGAACGCATGCTGGCAGGAGGTCACGAGGCAGACCCAGATGCCACGGGTCGACTGACTGAGATGACTGACTGATGCACCACCTGTGCCCTCTACTGTGCCAACTTGCTGTGCTTTACCCACCCGGCGCTCCGCTCGTTGTTGTGAGCGTCGCTACTCCCCCTCCGTTGTTATTGGAGGGCGACTGCCTCCAACTGCCCAGTAGTGTCCTTCACGAGCCTCCTCCACAGAGGCCGATCTTGACACTGCTGGTAGCAGTCATTGGCGAAAATGTTCCATTAGGGGGGTCACGTTTTGCAAGCGTAGACAAGGGAGGGAATGACTGTGGCCGAGAAGACCTGAAGCTTCGTGCGGAGCAACAGACCAGGTCTCTTCCACACAGCGTTACGCAACCGATGAAAAGATAATGCTGCTCGACTAATTCGGAGTGAGACTTCTGCTGTTCTACCGGAGCCGGTCATGAGCACACTGCCCAGGTATGGGAAACTCTCCACTCTCTCCACAACTGCCCTCTCACCAATTGGGAGTTCTGGGGGTGGAGTGTCCTATGGTACAAAATACGCAGGCAGGTGCTTAGTTTTGGTGGGGCTGATGGTAAGGCCCCACCTCTTAGTGGCAAGCTCCAGCTTCAGCAGTGAGCAGCAATTACGAGATCATCGGCATACATAACATGGTTGAGCAATAGGGAGCCATCTCTTGACTGCACCCGGGCATCCATTGTATCTGTACCAGATGGAAATTCCTCCGGTACAGCTATTGAAGGCGTCACGAACTACGTGGTCAAAATAGATGTTAAATAATGTGGGAGCCAGAGGACATCCCTGTCGCAACCCCAAAGTGAACAGGGAATGGCTCCGACTCCCAGCCACGTAGTTTTACCACGGCCCGCTCACCATCATGAAGGTCCCTAATGATTGTGAGCAGCGGGTCAGGGACTCCGAAAGCATGAAGAACCCAGAGCCCAGGCCTACTGATGGCATCATATGCCTTGACCAGCTCAATAAAGCAGAGATGTAGGTCTTGTTGGAATTCCCTACACCTCTGCTGTAGCAGACGGACAGAAAATATGGCATCTGTGCAGGACCGCCCTTTCCTGAAACCGCATTTGGGCTGCACAAGCCTCTCTTCAGCGTGCATAACAAAGGCGATGTTGAATAATCCTTGCCAGGACCTTTCCCAGCACACTGAAGAGTGAGATGCCCCTCTAGTTGTTACAGTCTGTGCGGTCCCCTTCTTAAATAGGGGGACCATCAGGGCATCCTTACAATTCTGCGGAACCCATCCAGTAGTCCAGACTGTTGTTATAACGTCATGTAGGTAGTCTGTACACAAACTTCACCCTCCCTCAGCATTTCGCTTGGAATATCATCTCTGCCTGGTGCCTTTCCTGGTCTCAGACTCCTCAACAGATGGCACCTCAGCAAGCCACTCACAGTGGGTGACTTCTTCTTCCAATATTTGAGGCACCGCAGCCTCGGCAGGGTCATCCCCACTTTGTCCCACGTTGTTTTCCAGGCTGAGGGATTTCCCCTCCCCCAGGACCTCACAGAAATTCTCAGCAAATCTGCAAACCTGTTCGTGGGGGTCAGAGATTGGATCACCGTTCTTTCCCTTAATGATGGCAATCGGTGTGGCGCTGCAGGTTACTTTTTTGATGGAATAAAAGAGCTATTTGTGATCACGGGCCATTGAGGCAGACTCCATCTCCTTAGCAACCCGCGACCACCACCCATCCTAGCAGCGCCTCACGGCTCTCCAAACCTCCGAGCGAAGGCTGCGGTAAGCCTCCTCATTCTTCGACTTGGGATGCTGTAGCCGATGAGAGTGGGCCTTTTGCTTTTTCTCAGCCAGCCTGAACACCTCCTCTGTCAGCCAGGGTCTCCGAGGTCTGCATGAGCCACAGTCCTAAACCTAGCCCATTTCCCCTCGACATCAGGAGTGGGGGACGATGCCAACCATAGCCGCAAGCGATGATTAAATTCTTGCTTGCAACTTTCATCAGCTAGCCGAGACCTTGCCACTAAGGGTTTGAATGAGGTCCTGGGTGTACACCCACCACCGGAGTGGAAGAATGGCAGGCACATCTTACGGATGACACGTCGATGGTCAGTGGGCAGATCAGCTCCACGGTAGGTTCTGGTGTCAAGGACATGGGCCCCCATCCGCTGGTCCGTCACTATGTAGTCCAGCAGATGTTCTTGCTTGGACCCGGCATGCATCCATGATGTTTGTGTGGATGCGCCGATGCCGGAACAGCGTGTTGGTAATTACAAGCCCATGAGCTGCACAAAAATCTAGCAGCCTCCTACCGTTGTTATTGAGCTGATCTGGCCCATGCCTTCCAATCACTCCAGACCAGGTGCCAGCATCATGACCAACTCGGGGGCATTGAAGTCACCCAACAGGATGACTCTATTCCGAGGGGCCACTTTAGCCAGCACCTGTGACAGGAGGTCATAGAAGGCATCTGACTCATCGGCCTTGCCTGCATCCCTCCACGGATGTTCGTCTTCGGTGGGGGCATAAGTAACCACGACCACCACTCCTCGCCTCTGGTTGATGGGAAGGCGAGTCCAAAGTAGCCTGGGGCTTACAGCTTCCCACACCTCACCGCCACGTTCCCATCTCACCTTCATTCTTTTGTTCAGAAGAAGAGCCACACCCTGTTGTTTGGCAGTCTCCTGCCCCGAGTAGAGGACTGTCCACCCCTCATGGTGGCAGGAGCCAGAGCCGGTCCACCGGACCTCCTGAATACCACAGAGATCCAGGCGGTTCCGGTCCAGTTCCCGACAGAGGAGTGGCAGCCTTTCCTCCGCAGTGAGTATTCCAACTTTCCACGTAGCCACACGTAGTGGTTTTTTGTTGTTTCTGGAGGAGCCCCGAGGGTGAGGATTCAGTCTCCTGGGTGCGCCAAATGGGGTTTGGCCAAGAGACGTCATAGACACCTGTCCCCCCAGGGCCTCCGGCACAAACTTATTAATTACAATTTTCAGTCGTGTTTTAGTGGTAATTAATTGAAGTTGGAGGGGTTACCAGCCCCCCGCATGCATCCAAAGCCCCATTTGGCCGCTGTGGTGGTTACAAACGCCATGAGGAGAAAGTGCAAATTAAATGAGCTCTCCCCCCATGGCACTGCCCACAACAGGGTATGGCACCACGAGGAGCTAGGGGGTTGTTTTTGCCGGTCTCATCACCACCACCATTACTACCACCATTACTACCCCTATCACCATCACCACCATCACCCACCAGCATCACCACCACCACCACCACCACAACCACCATCACCAACCACCACCACTCACCCGAGGGGGCCGTATCCCAGGACGATGAACGCCAGCAGCGCCATGGCACAGACAGCCTTCGTGGTGCGGGCAGCACCACCCCCTCCACCCTGCCACAGCCACACACACACCAGACAAAGATCCCCCGTGTAGCCTCACACACTCGTGGGGCAAGTGTGTATGGGTGTACCGATACCCACACACACACACCAGTCAAAGGTCCCCCGTGTTGGCTTACACACCCGTGGTGGCTAGGAGATGTGAACTCCCTCGCCTGGCCTACAGGAGTTCGTGGGTTCGATCCCGACCCTGACGATGCCTGCTGCTGTATATTTGGAGTATGCGTCTCTCTCCCTGTGGTCACGTGGATTTTTCTCCGGGTCCTCCGGTTTTTCCCTCCACATTTAAAATCAACGTCACCACCCGTTAAGATTGTTTGATCCCTGCTAAAAATTTCCACGTGATGATCATGATGATCAGTCACTTGGTTGAGCTGTCGTTTGTGATAGCCAAGATGCTTCTGTAAAAAAAGCTACGGAGCTCAGTGGGGCCTTCTTACTTGGTAAAATTAAGTTTCATTTCATGTGTAGGGGTGTTACGGGAGGGCGAACAAACACACCGGGGGTGGTTATGCCCGCACGCGGAAGGATGCTTACATCCACGTCCGCATCGGTTAGCCCTGGGGGGCTGTAACGGCGCTGTGATCCCCCACGGCCCCACCCCTCGGGGGGGGGGGAGTTGCTATATAAGGCGGTGAGCCGGTGGGCTCGGGGTTCA